GGGTGAAGTTTTAAGCTGCTAAAGTTGTGGTAATTTGTTACATAGCAACAAAAATCTAATATAGAGTTCTGGGGAATTAAAAAGCTCACTAAAGTAAAACATAAAGACAAAGGTGAGAGGGGGACGGCATAGCTCAGTGGTAGAGTGTGCGCTTAGCATGCATGAGGTCATGGGTTCAATCCCTAGTGTAGCCATTAAAATAAATAAATAAATAAACCTAATTACCACCCCCCCCAAAGACATAAGTGAGAAAAACTAAGAAAATTAGACGCTCAATCTGAGGGTTCCATCCAACACAGCTACTAACAGGCATTCCAGAACCAGAGAACAAAGGAAACAGCCAGAGAAAACTATAAAAGAAATAATGCAAGGTATTTTTCCAGGCTGAAAGAGTTTACCAGGAAAACTATCAGGAAAAGACCCATCCTAAAGCACAACACTGTGAAAGTTTAGAACACAAAGGCTAGAGTAAAACTCTAATCAAGAGAAAAAGCAGATCACACACAAAACAATGGGACTCAGAAGCAACTCTGGAAACTAGCATATCCTGGAGCCATGCCTGCAAAATTCTGAGTGAAATCAATTTCCGCCCAGAATTCTGTCAGCCATATAATCAATACCAAGCTCCCCTTTTTCAGGAATCTAGTTGAAGATCTTCTTCAACATACAGAACACACAGGATCCAGAAAAGTGAAGACAACAGGAGGAAGGTGAAAGGTTTCCCAGGAAGACAGCAAAGGGCAATAGAGACCAAGTTGCTCTGATTAGAAAATGAAGCTGGAGAGCTTTCAGCATGATTCCAGGAAGGAAAAAAAGAAAGCAGCTGACTATCTCATACACTTTAGAAAGGTAAATCAAGAGAGTATACAACCGTGTAGAAGTCTTTGTTGAGATTTAAAAAAAAAAGCTAGATAAGTAAGATTATCCTGTACAGCACAGGGAAATATATACAAGATCTTGTGGTAGCTCACAGCGAAAAAAAAATGTGACAATGAGTATATGTACGTTCATGTATAAGTGAAAAATTGTGCTCTACACTGGAATTTGACACAACATTGTAAAATGACTATAACTCAATAAAAAAATGTTAAAAAAATTTTTTAAAGCTAAATAAAGGTCAATAAATACAGAAACAGAACAGTTATACAAGCAGTGAATGATACTTCACTAACCATTATACTATAAGCACTATATAGTAACAAAGCCAAGAACTATGATATGATACATTAGGAGAACTAAAGGAGTTCAAGAGATTGGGTGCTGGGTGCTGGAAGCTGACAGTTTGGCAAGCCTATACCTTCACCTACCAGACAGGATGCCAAAATACTCATGAAGATGATGAATTATGAGACAATTCCATAAGCATATTCCTCAGTAACATGAAGATAAGAGGAAAGAGCTAAAGGCTAAAAGTGATATATGAGGAGTGTGGTAGGCATTTGGGGCTGTATATACAATTTGGACTTTGGTGCAATAATAATTTTTTAACTGTGTGCTTGTAGTACTTTGATTAAAAATGTTATGAAAGATAATAAATGGGAAAAGGTGAGTTCAAAACATCGAGATATGATTTTACACCCCCATAAGCCGCACCAGGAGAGCAAAACAGGGGTGTTAAATGACTTCCGTGTAAGCAAGCTCACCTGTTGGTTCAATTCAATATTTGGCTGAGTAAACAGCATTTCCACTATATCTGAAATTGAAAGAGAAAAGATATTTTTTTAAGAATGGAAGCAAAAGCCTGACAAGACCAGGCACAATAATTATAAAAGAGAGAATATGTTTTAGAAGAATCTTCAAGAAAATCCTTATAACAATTTTTTTTTAACATTTATGTAAACAGAAGACTGAAGAATCTAAAAGGCAGAATTACTTAGGGAAAATTTTTTTCAAGTAATTTTGCTTTCACATTTTCACATGACATCTACTATTGGAATATTTTTACATTTGCTAGGTAATATTCATATCACTATTTTGTGTTTATTAGCCAAAAATAAACTTTGGGGAGACAGCCATAAATTTTCTTCTTTGGGGAGACAGCCATAAATTTTCCTTTGGCCATGCTATTTAATTGGTTGGGTTCCTCGTTTCTCACTGTTGTTGTGATTACTTTCTGTGTGTTGTGGACAGAGGTAGAAAGGGAGTGAGTGTGATAGATTCTTAGCCAGGCTGAAATACATGTAGAAATTCCACTTGCCATGTACTGATTATAAGACAAAGAAAGTTATCAACTGAATCACTAACTCAAGCAAAAGCTATCTTTCTCCTGAATTTAACAGTCTGTCTTAAACCAGAATGTAAACCATAAAAGCATACTGGGAAAAACTAAGCTAAAGGAGTCCATTCTGCCCCTTTCTTCTGTGAGATTAGACAGTGGGGTTTGTTTTTGTATTACTGTTGTTTTCCTGTAACTTTTCCAAGCCTGAGCGAGTAAAGGAAGCTTCCACTCTTTCAAGTTCAAGAGCTCCATGTAGTGAGGCTGACCAGTCACATTCTACCTACAGTTTTACAGAGCTTCCAGGTTCAGGGCTTTTGGCTGATATTCTAAAGGATTTGAAAAGAATAACCAATTCTTTTTTTCATTTCTGTAACTCTGGCTTCCCTAGATGAAGCACATTTTCAGTAACATAGATATGTGTGATAACAAAAAAAATGCAATACCTTTGTGACCTCCGTGACAAGCCCAGTATAAGGCAGTGCTTCCAGCTTTGTCTAAGCCATTAACACCGACTCGGTTGTCCAAACACTCTCTCAACCAGCTCAAGTTGCCTGAAAAAAATTTTACATTTATAAAAACACATGAAAAAGGTTTGGCGGTTTTCGGTTTTGCTTTTAAATCAATTTCATCCTACATAAATTCACATTTGCAAAGGATTAATCAGCAGTCTGAAATTAAAACCTGCTCTGTAATGCATTCACTATGGTACATTCTGACTTCCAGTTTATTAATGGAAAACATTAACATAAATTTTTAATGGTAGGTTAATGGGAAGAGGTGCCTAAATGGGTCCACTTAAAGTATTTTTACCCTGAAAAAATTTTTTTTTCTTCCTTTGTGAAATCCTGGAACTTTGGGAAAAATAGTCAAACCTAAGAACATGCAGATGCTGCTCATATTCATATTTAAAACACATTTTCTGATCTTATAAGAAAAGGAAAACTAATCTACTCAAAGCTGCTGCTCTTATATGTTAAAATATTAATTTAAAATTCTTTGGCTAATGGCCCAAATATCCAGTTTACAAGAATTTTTAAATGTCAGTTTAGTACTTTTACTTATGCACAATCCTAAACCAGTCATTTTCTTTTGAACATTCAGCAAGATCTAATATTAAATGAAACCTTTCTGAGGCCTTACAAAAATTCCCCATTATCTACAGCAGGGTTTCTCAACAGCAGCCCTATTTTTTTTTTTTTAATTTTTGGTGGCAGGGTAATTAGGTTTATTTATTTATTTATATATATTATTTATTAATTTATTTTATGGAGGTATTAGGGATTGAACCCACGACTTCATGCATGCTAGGCATGTACTCTACCACTGAGCTACACCCTCCCCACTAACAATGGCCCTATTGACATTTGGGGTTGGAGAATTTTTTGCTATGAGGGCTGTACTGTGCACTATAGGATGTTTAGCAACATCCCCAGCCTATACCCAGAACGTGCCAGCATCTTCCCAATAATGACAACCAAAATGTCTCCAGATATTGCCCAAAATCCCGTGTTTGGCAGGAGGAATTACCCTCAGTAGAGAACCACTGATCTACAGGATAAAGCCCCAAGTGTCAGGCCCGTCCTTGGTGTTCCCTTCTTTCCTGACTCCATCCTCACCATACACACCTGCACTACACCAACACTCTCCTAGTTGCTGGACCCCCAAGCAGCCCGCACCCTCTGCCCTCTAGTTACTCACTCTGTCCTCTATAGCCTGTGAGTACTGAAACACACTTCAGTTGCTGGATTTATTACACCATCTTATAATGATCTGCTACACACATCTCTCCTCCACCAGACTCTGAGCTCTGGGAGTCACAGACCATGCCTTTCCACTTGCCGTTAAGCACAGGGCAGGTAAAATACTCAAAAGTATTTGTCAACTGACTTTTAAAAATTAAAATCACACTTATCTCTCTAGAGTGAAAGGAGGCAGAACAGAGATTGCCTCTAGGGGAGGCAAGGATTTAACTGGGAAGGGAACTTTCTGGGATAATGAAAATGTTCCAGATCTTGATCTGGGTGTTGGTTACATGAGTGTATACATCTGTTAAAAGTCATCAAATTATATAATATCTGTGTGTTTTACTGTACTGCTATCTCCATCAAAGAAAATCACACCTACCTCTTTTTGCAGCTTCATGCAATGGATTGTCAATGGATTCTGCCTGCTCAGCCACTAGATTGAAAAGAAAAAGTGCAAGCCAATGTTGAGAGGGCCACCCAAAGAATTCCCTAAAGACAATTCAGTCCCCAGCTTCAGAAGTGCCAGGACCTTCCACCATACAGCTTTCCTTACTTAATGTGGATTTTAAAGATGGCAGAAAATCAAAGTGACTTTTTTGTGCTTTGAAAGAAACTGAATTATGTGTCAAATGAAATCAAGCTAAGACAGTAACATACCAATTTAA